CCCTGAGAATCACAGAGATGTTATATTAATGAAATCATTGGCGGCAGCTAGAGGAGCACCCTGAGAATCACAGAGATGTTATATTAATGAAATCACTGGCTGTGGCTAGAGGAGCACCCTGAGAATCACAGAGATGTTATATTAATTAAATCTGCCAACCACAAATATAATATTATGTAACAAGTAAGAATGATATTACAGCAGTAAAGTCTGCCAAACTTTTAACACAACAGATGGTGGAACATATCTGATGTTTTCAAACTGATTTCAAATTAATTAATAAACAAACAGTGATACAATTTAAAATGCAGTTTTTATTATAAGCCACTTACTTCAAATAAATGAATAAAAAAACAGAGAAACAATTTAAAGTGCAGTTATAATTATATGTAGTTACAGCTAGAAGGAAGCAATCCCATACCTTATCTAGGAATAGAGCAGTCACACTGGCTGTATGTCCATGTAATGTATATAAACACAAAGAGTCTTCTATCCTGTACACCTGTAATAGGAAGAACACACAGTTATAACAAAGAACACTTAGTTGCAACAAATGTCAGAAAAAAAAGAAGGGCAGTTTTCTCATTTCTGTCACTTAATGCTCAGTGCCAGCAGATAACTGGTAATTCTCACTGTTGGACTCGTCTGTTTTGTACCTTTAATGTCTGATCTTGACTGGCAGTTACGACACGCCCCCCTGCCATCTCCAGGATGTTGATTGGCTGTTGATGTGCCGTTACCGTGACAATATGTGAACAGTGTATGATGTCATCCCATGGTTTCATCTCTGTGTTGGCCATAGTGGAACCTAGCTGTCTGCTGGCTGCACGGTGAGATAAACCTGAAGTTATCACATAGCTACAGAATAATGGCTGGATAAAGCCAATAATAAGATGCTCTCATTAAAATGTAGCCAAGGGCTGTTTCATATCAAGAGCACAGGTAGACAATTATCTTGTGAACCTGTGACCTCTCCACTCACATACACTGTTCATAGTCATTCAGTCACCACTCCTCATAGGAGCTAGACAGGACTTCTATATCTGAGGTTAATTTGACTTTATTTGTTTCAATCTGTTTATATGTTTATATCATTATTTGTTAGTTCTTTTAATTTTCTGTTCAATCTGTTTGTACAATATAATTATTCATATTTTCAGTCAACATTGGTTCCAGTGAATAAAACTGGAAAAACCAATAGTATCGTAGTTAATAACTGACCATTGAGATAGACCTGAAGTCATCACACTTCATTAGAAAGATGAAAAATACTGTAACAATTTAAATGAGCAAGACTGTTGCCACCTTTTAAACAAATCAATGTTAATGCAGGTCATAAAATACAGGAACAACACTAAGATTCACAATCCTGATACTGACCCCTGTTGTGGAGTACGGAGGGCGGTGTGGTCGAGGAGGGAATGACGGGAGAATGCGTGTATGTTTCCAACTCCAAGAAATCTAGAGTACCATCCAGTCTGGCCACTATCACTCTGGGAAATAAAATAAACAAAAATTCACGTAAAAATGTCAAAGCCAGTTGGCTCATCTTGCTTCATAAAAGTGGATTTAAACACAGTTCTGTTGCATGGAACACAGAGAAGGCAGTGAACATATGTCCTAATTTAATAACTTCCTGTTACTGGTTTACTTAAGGCCTCCTGCTAATTCTGGCACAATTGTGAGCTCCAAGTAGTATTTTTTAAAGTATTCATAACAACAACAACACATTCCTCTCCCTTCATAAACCACTCCCAGACTTGATGTGTAGACAGACATCCACAGCAACACACTGGTGGCAGCGGTGGGATACTTACTTCTTTCCCTGGAAACACCAGACCTGCTACCTTCATACAGACACTTTATACTACCTGACAATACATCCCAGATACTTACTTCTTTCCTTGGAAACATATCCCAGTAACACCAGACCTGCTGCCTTCATACAGACACTTCAGGCTGCCTGACAATACATCCCAGATACTTACTTCTTTCCTTGGAAACATATCCCAGTAACACCAGACCTGCTGCCTTCATACAGACACTTCAGGCTGCCTGACAGCGCATCCCAGAACTAGAACAGAACACATGGACTTTATGTCAGAAAGATATCTCAGATTTAGACTGTGTATGTTACTAAAGCTGTTCTGCAAAGCTTTGAATTCAGTACCTGATGCTGAAGCCACATTTTTTTTTTTTTTAAATGCTCTCAGAAACTAATAAAATATTCAATTGTACATTAAACAAAAACTGAAAATTGAAATATTTCCACTGCAGCCACACCCTCCTCTCTGTCCACATTCACCTCTATTTTGCCATTTCCACAACCAGCTACAATCAAGTTGTCCTGTGACTCCAGACACCAGATGGCAGGAGCTGACCCTCTCACAGCAAGACAGTCTGGTGTCACAGCCTCTACTGGGCCATCATTGGTGCCTAAACTTCTACTTCTGTACCTCCCCAGATCTCCAGGGCGCTGTGTCGTGGCCTCCATGTCTCCCAGAGATCTCCTGTGCTGCTCCTTCATCTGTTCGTACCTCCTGCTCTCCACCTGCAGCTGCTGGTGCTCTCGGTAATACGGGGAAAACTTGGAGGCAAAGTCATAGCCAGGTTCACTGGACGCAATGCTGCCTGGGGACTGGGGATTGGGGCTGTCTTGTTTAGATCTTCTGTTTAGAAGACTTGAAAAGTTAGTGTCAATGGTTCCTGTAAGATCAGGAATGCTGGTAAACCTGTCCTGTCTGCGGTGGATGACAAACTGGGTGGAAACGGGGTCTTGTGCCACTGGTTTGTGACCATCTCGTCTTTTCACAATGTCAGATGGTTCTGGTTTTAGCAGTGGTGCCTCATGGTACTCGGCATATAAGTCCATGTCGCTGTCATTGATGTTTCTACCTGGTATAGGAGTGCGATCGTCAGGGGGAGTTATCCTGGAAAAGTGTGCCCAACACATTAACATTACGTTTAACCTTTGTTTCTATTTTAGTATAAACATTTGTCTCACAGGTGGTACACGTATTTATGGCTTGCAAGTGAGACGCAAGTTCAGTTATTGTACAGTATGAAGCGCCAGTTGTGGGGTATGTAAATAAAACAGTGAAGCAGTTTCTGGGTATGACTCACCATTTTCTGTGTATGACAGTGAGGCACTCGCCAGAGGTGGTGTCCCAGACACGTAACTGTCCCCCCAGACAGCAACTGATGAGCAGGGGGCCGTCTGTCACCATACATTCTATCTCCTGAAATCAACAGTTCTCCGTCAATAATGTCTACATATTTGTAATTTAATGGAAGAACAATCATTCTGATAAGGTGAGTGGCTGACTCAAATTGTAACCAGGAGAGGAAATAAAAATTCTGATTAAAGTATTATTAGTACTAGTAAGTACACTTTCTGTACCTGGTTATGGCCTATCAGCCTCAGTGGCAGTGCCTCTTTGATCATCTTAAAGTAAGGGCTTGCCTTGGTTCTCTTCTTTGACTTACTCCAAGAACTTCTCCACTTGGCATAGTTCCTAGAACACACACATCTGAAACACAGACAGCATGGAGAAATTATATAGGAATAATAAGATAAAAGTATGAACAGACATATTAGTACATGCTTTTATTGCAAGTGCTTATAACTTTGACACATCACTAAGACTTACTTTGATGATGTTATCAGAAGATGAGGAATTTTATGAATTGATACAACCTGATGCTTTCTTTTATTAGATAGTATCATTTGAAAATGGCTTAAAGTCCAACATATCTTCAACACATCTTACCTGTACAATATCATCATGAAGTAGATACCTACCTGTACAATATCATCATGAAGTAGATACCTACCTGTATAATATCATCATGAAGTAGATACCTACCTGTATAATATCATCATGAAGTAGATACCTACCTGTATAATATCATCATGAAGTAGATACCTACCTGTACAATATCATCATGAAGTAGATACCTACCTGAATAATATCATCATGAAGTAGATACCTACCTGTACAATATCATCATGAAGTAGATAATATCATCATGAAGTAGATACCTACCTGTACAATATCATCATGAAGTAGATACCTACCTGTATAATATCATCATGAAGTAGATACCTACCTGTATAATATCATCATGAAGTAGATACCTACTTGTACAATATCATCATGAAGTAGATACCTACCTGTACAATATCATCATGAAGTAGATACCCAGGAAGACACTCATGACACCCAGGATCACTGTAATCACCAGTTCTCTGGTAGAGTGAGCATACAGTGGCAAGGGGCCCTGCACATGACTCTGGGGAACCAAGTTCTCTCCATTGAAGTACGTCTTGGCCTTAATGAGGCGCTCCTCCATCTCTTCCTGCTCCTTGGGATGACGCATCCGTATGGCAGCCTCGGGATCAGCCACAATGGACAGATGGACAGAGGGAAGAATGCTCACATAACTGAATGTATCAATGTGAGTATATGAATTCAAAATTAAAAATAATAATTAACAATGTTATTAAGATATCATAGCAACAACTAAGGTTTACACTGTTTTCTTTGTCTTACTAGATGTAGCATGTATACTGAACAGAAATATCACTCTGTTTAAAATAGAAGATTGAGTTCCACCCGAACTTATATTAATATAATTCTATTCAAGATGGAGGACTGAAGTTACCTTCCAGATGTACTTATGTTATACATCTCCAGCAGAGAGGGCCAGTGTTGGTACGATAACTTCCGCCACATCTGGCCATCAGAGTGAACTAACTGGGACGCCACCTGGCTACCTCCACCTTCAAAAGAGCTCTCCTTCATTCCCCTTGTGGAGTAGTCACCAGGGTCATCTGTGTAGGCATGATAGTCAACCTCACGCCCGATAAATTTCTCCACATTTTGAGGCAGACTGTAACTCTGACCTTGACTGTGACCTTGACCTGGAAAGGTGCTGGCGTTGTGTTTGACAAGGTGTTCTACGAGTCCACTCTTGTACACTATCAATGCTATCCAGATCACTGTGCTGACCTACAACACACAAAGATACAGATCCATAGCAAAACTTTCTAAGTCAAGTTGTTGTACATTAGGTGAAGCATTTTTCCATGATAACAATGTCTGTACCAGTCTACATACCATGATAACTCTCTGTACCAAACTAACACAATGTCTGTACCAGTCTACATACCATGATAACTCTCTGTACCACCCTGGTTCTTGCCCAGAAGTAAATAAGGCGTATCCTGCGTGGCAGATCACTGTCTGGGTCTGTATACATATAGATAAACTCGTCCTGGCCGTAGGGGGATGGCGGTGGTGTGGGGGGACGGCCAATACTTCTCTGTGGGGTGTGGAAGGCAGGGGCTGATGTAGACTTGGGGAGACTAGAATGTGATCTTGTGGACTGAAATGAAAACAAGTAGCATTTCATTCTTATTATCTCTGAATTTAATCTTTCTACAATGAATATATTTTTCTTTAAAATTTTAGGTTTCCTGATGAATACTGAATGAGTTGACAAAACATGTGTGTGTGTGTGTGTGTGTGTGTGTGTGTATGCGTACAGGTGCCAAAGCCAATATGTGTATGTGTGTGTGCAAGAGCCAGTGTGCGTGTGGGTGTGGGTGTGTGTGTGTGTGTGTGTTATGGGGATGAGTGTGCAGGGATCATAGAGGGATAAGCTAACCTGCTGCATCAACTGAGGTCCTTTAAAACAGTCCATCACAGGGCAGTGGAGTAACATCCCTGGGGCTGGACTGGGCATGACACTGGGCGTGGCACTGGGCGTGGTCCGCTCCTTGGGGCTCATCTGTAAGTGCTGCTTATGGAGGTCATTCAGCTGAAAGAACAATAGTAGCCATGGTTACCCATGACAACAAAACCTGTAACCATGGTAATCCTTGGCAACAAAACATCATGATATACACTTCAGGGTCTGAGAGTGAAATTGTTACATTTGCCAAGATCCTAAAAATACTATTTATTTTATGTATTTGTAGAGACCCTTAAAGATCATGATAAGGTACTTGCCAAGCTATTATGGAAGGAAGCTGTGTAAGAATTTAGCTAGAATTTACAAAGAATTTGTATAGAAATTCTGCAGATGTTTTACTTTGAAAAGTTACAAATGAAAACAATGGTTATATCTGAGTGTTTTATTAGTATATGTGAAGACAGCTCAGGGAATATATCTAGAGGTGGTTTAATGTATACTACACAAAGCACACTGTACCTCCATTCTGCGGATATCAATGGACAAGACAGTAACAAAGAACCCCATCTGGAGGAAGAAATCTGTGAACAGACCAACCACAGCAAACAGACAGAACTCCTGGATGGCAGGAATGAAGGTGAAGAAACCTCCCACCACAATCAGTAACTCCAGACAGAAGTTTTTGGTGATGGACCAGCTCTCTTTACTAAGACCTGGAACATATGAAAAATGTAAGTTAATATCAAGGATTCACAATTCTTGGAGCTTTCTTCTGGTTTCTTGATGTCTTTCTTTCTTCATTTCCACCATTACACAAAAACAAAAGATTCCTATAAAAATAATATCTTTCCAGATAAACATGATCAAAAATGATCTAAAACAATACATAAAGAACCAGTCAGCTAGCTGAGGGCAGTTCTATTTTCTCCCTTTCCTTAGTGTAATTCTTTCTATTACCCCCTCCCCCTCCACCCCCCCCCCCACCCCCCGCACACACAACCACCACAAGTCCCATCATTACACAACATAAGATTCATGAAGAGACAATCATAATCTTTACGTGATCTCGTACAATACACTCCATCCTAAAAAGCAGTATTCACTCAATTTTTTTCAATGGTGGAAAACTCAAAATTTTACAGATACTGTATATTTTAGGTAATAATTTCTTCAAAATAGAATATTCCTGTTGAGTTGTAACAATGAAATTTATAAGTAGCCAACCCTATAGTTCTGTTCTATGCAGTAAAATCGCACATAGGCAATACAGAAATGCGGTTTTTGTGATAATAAAATTAATCATCTGCAAGTTGGATAATTTTGCCCATTGGAAAGATTGAGACAATACAACCTATCCTATAAGTCACTTGGAGGAGGGCAGAGTACTCACCTTGAGCCACACGTATCTTGACATCCAGATCTATAGGTGTGGAAACCACAGACTTGGTGAGTACTAAGACATTCTCTAGTCCTATCACCACTACTAGATATGGGAAGATTTCTCTGAAAGTTAGGAAATAATTGAGATCATATTGTGTATCAATGTAGGAGTGGAGACCACAGACTTGGTCAGTACTAGGACATTTTCAAGTCCTATCACCACTACTAGATATGGGAAGATTTCTCTGAAAGTCAGGAAAACAAGGAAATCATAATTTGTGTCACTGGATTACATTTTGTAGGCCATCATGAACATGTCTCTAAATGTTCTCAAAATAAGTATACAGCATAAGAAATACAAATTTTGAGAAACTTTAAAGAAATACTGACAGCATTGTTTATTTTTGTATTGTATGAAAGAAACCTACCATCTGTTAATACTAATTATAGTAGAACAGACTTAGGTGTCTGTACATAAAAAACTTACCCTCTGTTAATACTGGGATGAAGACCAAAGAATGTACAAATAGACAGTGACATGAGTAAAGATGCCAGGACCATAGCTACAGCACTGAATGCCAGACCCCACTTGGACTTCACCATCTGAATCTTACCTGGAATATAACAGAATAGACTTAGCTTAAGATATATCTGAATCTTACCTGGAAATGATAAAATACACTTAGCTATAAGATTTTATATCTTTTTATGGTGGAGCAGACTTATGTTAAATATTTTACCTGGAATAGGGTGGAACAAACTCAGCTTTAAATTTTATACATATTTACAGTGGAGTAGACTTAGGCTTTAAATTTCACACGGAAGGCTTAGGTTTTAGATTCCATATTAATTAAAGAAAGACAAACCATGTTTCTGGATTTCACATCATATTTTCAGACTTAACCTTGCAATGAAGGAAGACTCACTTACAATACTAAGATTTTTCATCACACAAACTCGGATAATTTACTCTCATTTAGTATACAAAGCAGTTTATCAATATAAGTTGCTGCAATTGTTAATTAGATTGTAATTTGGTTCTAGCATACTAAACAGAGTATGGTTGACAAACATACAAAGTACTCACAAACAGAGAAGTAGAGGTATAAAAACAGCACCACGTAGGCTACCACTAGAGGGATATACTCCATGAGGAAGTTGTGGACATCTTTGAAGTAGATATTCTCCACAGTGTCTGCAGCTGTGGAGTTAAAGCTGGTCGTACTGTGGGGGTACAACTGGTGAAGTTTCTCCTTCAGAGCACTGAAGAAACTGAAAGAGAAAGAAAGAGAACCCTCATAGCTGATATAGCAAGGGGAGTATGATGTCTCTGCCACTGCATTTACGAAACTTAAAGGGATAATAACTCTTTGTGTAAGATCTATATTTCACAAGAAAAACATTGTGAACAACTCATAGAAATAGAATATATTCTGTTGTACCACAAAAATGGCAGTTAAAGCTATTATTCTGATATCTGAACTTGTCTTTAGACCATGTGACCTCCATTGATGGCTATATTCTGCTATAATCTCTTCAGAGATTTTAACAAAAAAAAAATTTAGAAAAAAAAACAGGGACTAACTCTGAATGTAAAAATGGATTCATTAACCATTGGTAAGTATGGGGAAATTGTTGTTTACCAAAATGAAGAGTTATTATCCCTTAAAGTTAGGCAAAGATGAAAATGAAGCTAATTATACTTGACACGCTCTCTAAATACAGCTATAATTATATAAATGTTTACAGATGAGGTTTTTAAAACCATCAATCAGCGACATAAACTTGATTATCATTTACCAGGAATCTGTTCATATTCAAAGCTTTGTCATACATCATGACTAAACAATACTTCAACTAAAACTTGTCCTCACCTTTCATTATAAGACTGTAGCATAAGAGTGACAGCGTACGATATGACACGCTGTCTGTTCCTCAGGAAATATCTGGATATCCCCGTCTCTATCCAGGCCATGCCAAACAGCAACTCTGACAGAAAAAAAAATTAATTTTCTTCTTTGGATTAAATTGCTGAATTCCAGTAAGTATATCTTTTTTTTTTTTTTCATGAAGTTATCCCTTGATAAATATTCCATAACTGTGAACACTGCCATTTTGAAGTAATGTCTGTAATTCTGTACACTTTCTGGTCATCTGACATCAACTATCACTATTCTACCAAAGGTAATGTCTCCATGTTCTCACCTCTCAATGGTGGTACCATCTCCATGTTGCTGGCACCATAATTCTTGTAAATGGTGTTGATGATTTCCCCATCCGACTGAAACCTGGGAAAATTTTGGAACACATATAAAATACATTTCCTTCAAATATCAGGGATGCTAGTGGGGTCCGGAAAGAAAACCTGAACTTTTTTTTTTGGCAAAGACGGGGGGGGGGGGGGTACAAATTGATTATGAAACAATTACTATATTTCAAATTTTATTTAATAANCAGTCTCAGGGTTCTGCCAAGGTCTCAAAAAAGGGGGGAGAATTCTCCCCTCTGAGCTAAAAAGTTGGGGAGATTTTGAGAAATAGTGGGAGATCAGGAAAAATGTTATTTTACGTAAAAACATACGCTGCTAGTCTGTATTGGTATTTTATTAAAGTTCACAAACTGAACTGATTCAACTTTGAAAGTGATTTTACATAGACTGTATGTATATACAGTTGCAAATGATTTTTTATAAAAACTTTCACTTTAAGGCTATGTGCCAACAATGATACACTGCTAATCTGTACTGTTCATAGCATCTGCCTCATTATCATAGCGGAGCCAAGAATAATCTCTTAACCAATCGTGTTGAAATTTCTGTGGCACTACTTTTGGTTTCTTTCTTTCAGGCCCTTCGATGGTATTTGGTCTGCAGACCTAAAATTTAAAAAAAGTTAAAATTTCTCCTACTTACAAACTTATAATTTCTGGAACCAGACACCACTTACCAAAAGAATTTTTAGGTTTTGATGATTTATCATGACTAAACACTTTAATCAGGAAAAATTGTGTTTGGGTGTTAGTGTTTGGGAAGGACATTTTTATCTTTGATTTATCGTTTTCACAATATTGACTACTTTTTAAAATAAAGGCTAAAGTAAAAAAAATATAGGTCACACATTTGGTTGAGTTCATTCTATGAAAATATCCTTGATTAGGAGGCCCTAACTTTTTTTCAAATTAGTATTCTCACACATATATACAGAGGAATAAACAGATCTCCTTACTTCTTCATTGAAGTTAAACATTTCCTTTTTTCAAATTTTTATTCTCACACACACACATATATGCATTATAGAGAGATAGGAATAAACATATCAAAAACGGGCCTCCTAACTTTTTAAACCTCTTTTTCATATTATCATACTCACATAGGAGGAATAAACATATCAAAAACGGGCCTCAACTTCTTTTTCATATTATCATACTCACATAGGAGGAATAAGCATACCAGAAACGGGACCCGTCATTTTTTAACGTTTTTTTTTTTTTTTTTAAATTTTCATACTCACATATAGAGGAATAATCGTACCAAAAACGGGCCTATTACCGTTTTTTTACTTTCTTTCACATTTCCAAACGAAGTGTCAAGTGTCCTTCCAAAACGTAAAATAAAAATGCCACGGAATGACCATACCTTTATCGTCGACGAACTGTCAGTTTCATCTGGAGTCGCATCTTCAGAAATTTGTTTCTTCCTTTTCTCAGACTTGTCAGGCGGAGAGACGGATTCACCTGACTTTGGCATAAAACTTAAAATAGATCTCTGTTTTTTAACTTTCGCTTTCGGCAGGGGTAATCCTATTCGGCAAGGAAGCCGCCATTTTAACCACGCTTCACAAGGCTGAATATCACTGTCACGCCGTCTATCATTGGTTGACTGTCCCGCGAGTGAGAGAACCAATAAAACCGCTCAATCGCTCAACCTACTTTAGGCCGAGTGCAGCGGAGTCACCCGAGGATTGCCGATTGGACTGTAGTCATGAAGAGGTACTATTGATATTACGACAACAAATGACGACGCTGCTTGAAACGATCTCTTACGAGGGTACACATGCAGTAAAACTTCGTCGCAATATGACGACGTTAAGGACACTGTGTTAACAAGTCAATGCAGCGGGTGATGCAAAGAAATTTATACCGGTGATGATTATTTAGATAAACAATTTTAGACGCCACTCTCAATGTGTCTTTTATCATCTCAAGAACAATGATAGCACCCTCATTCGGTTTGTATGCGAGAATTTTCGCATCTTTGGTAATTTTTGTGCGAGAATTTTATTTTTTTGGCGAGAATCTCGCAGAATCGCGGCCTCGGCAGAACCCTGCAGTCTACATACCATGATAACTCTCTGTACCAAACTAACACAATATCTGTACCAGTCTACATACCATGATAACTCTCTGTACCAAACTAACACAATATCTGTACCAGTCTACATACCATGATAACTCTCTGTACCAAACTAACACAATATCTGTACCAGTCTACATACCATGATAACTCTCTGTACCAAACTAACACAATATCTGTACCAGTCTACATACCATGATAACTCTCTGTACCAAACTAACACAATATCTGTACCAGTCTACATACCATGATAACTCTCTGTACCAAACTAACACAATATCTGTACCAGTCTACATACCATGATAACTCTCTGTACCAAACTAACACAATATCTGTACCAGTCTACATACCATGATAACTCTCTGTACCAAACTAACACAATATCTGTACCAGTCTACATACCATGATAACTCTCTGTACCAAACTAACACAATATCTGTACCAGTCTACATACCATGATAACTCTCTGTACCAAACTAACACAATATCTGTACCAGTCTACATACCATGATAACTCTCTGTACCAAACTAACACAATATCTGTACCAGTCTACATACCATGATAACTCTCTGTACCAAACTAACACAATATCTGTACCAGTCTACATACCATGATAACTCTCTGTACCAAACTAACACAATATCTGTACCAGTCTACATACCATGATAACTCTCTGTACCACCCTGGTTCTTGCCCAGAAGTAAATAAGGCGTATCCTGCGTGGCAGATCACTGTCTGGGTCTGTATACATATAGATAAACTCGTCCTGGCCGTAGGGGGATGGCGGTGGTGTGGGGGGACGGCCAATACTTCTCTGTGGGGTGTGGAAGGCAGGGGCTGATGTAGACTTGGGGAGACTAGAATGTGATCTTGTGGGCTGAAGTGAAAACAAGCATTATTTCATTCTCATTATCTCTGAATTTAATATTTCTACAATGAATATATTTTTCTTTAAAATTTTAGGTTTCCTGATAAATACTGAATGAGTTGACAAAACAGATATGTGTGTGTGTGTGTGTGTGTGTGTGTGTGTGTGTATGCGTACAGGTGCCAAAGCCAATATGTGTGTATGTGTGTGTGCAAGAGCCAGTGTGCGTGTGTGCGTGTGTGTGTGTGTGTGTGTTATGGGGATGAGTGTGCAGGGATCATGGAGGGATAAGCTAACCTGCTGCATCAACTGAGGTCCTTTAAAACAGTCCATCACAGGGCAGTGAAGTAACATCCCTGGGGCTGGGCTGGGCGTGGCACTGGGCATGACACTGGGCGTGGTTCGCTCCTTGGGGCTCATCTGCAAGTGCTGCTTGTGGAGGTCATTCAGCTGAAAGAACAATAGTAGCCATGGTTACCTGTGACAACAAAACCTGTAACCATGGTAATCCTTGGCATCAAAATGTGATGATATACACTTCAGGGTCTGAGAGTGAAATTGTGTTACATCTGCCAAGATCCTAAAAGCTACTATTTATGTAATGTATTCGTAGAGACCCTTAAAGATCACGATAAGGTACTTGCCAAGTGATCATGGAAGGAAGCTGTGTAAGAATTTAGCTAGAATTTACAAAGAATTTGTATAGAAATTCTGCAGCTGTTTTACTTTGAAAAGTTACAAATAAAAATAATGTTTATATCTGAGTGTTTTATTAGTAAATGTTAAGATAGCTCAGTGGATATATCTAGAGGTGGTTTAATGTATACTACATTAATGTTAAGACAGCTCAGTGGATATATCTAGAGGTGGTTTAATGTACACTACATTAATGTTAAGACAGCTCAGTAGATATATCTAGAGGTGGTTTAATGTATACTACATTAATGTTAAGACAGCTCAGTAGATATATCTAGAGGTGGTTTAGTGTATACTACATTAATGTTAAGACAGCTCAGTGGATATATCTAGAGGTGGTTTAATGTATACTACATTAATGTTAAGACAGCTCAGTAGATATATCTAGAGGTGGTTTAATGTATACTACACAAAGCACACTGTACCTCCATTCTGCGGATATCAATGGACAAGACGGTAACAAAGAACCCCATCTGGAGGAAGAAATCTGTGAACAGACCAACCACAGCAAACAGACAGAACTCCTGGATGGCAGGGATGAAGGTGAAGAAACCTCCCACCACGATCAGTAACTCCAGACAGAAGTTCTTGGTGATGGACCAGCTCTCTTTACTAAGACCTGGAACATATGGAAAATGGCAGTTTAATATCAAGGATTCACAATTCTTGGAGCTTTCTTTAGGTCTCTTTATGTCTTTCTTTCTTTCATTCATTCATTTTTCCAAGTTCCACCATTATACAAAAACAAAAGATTCCTATAACAATAATCTCTTTCCAGACAAACATGATCATAAATGATCTTAAACAATACATAAAGAACCAGTCAGCTTGCCGAGGGCAGTTCTATTTTCTCCCTTTCCTTACTTACTTACTTTCTTTCTTTCTATTACCCCCCCACACACACACACACACACAAGTCCCATCAGTACACAACATAAGATTCATGTAGAGACAAGCACAATCATTGTGTACTGTATAGTTCTGTTCAATGCAGTTAAATCACACAAAGGGAATATAGAAATGTGATTTTTGTGATGATAAAATTAATCATCTGCAAGTTGGATAATTTTGTCCATTGGAAAGATTGAGACAATACATCCTATCCTCATGATCCACTCCATGGAGGGCAGAGTACCTACCTTGAGCCACGCGTATCTTGACATCCAGATCTATAGGAGTGGAGACCACAGACTTGGTGAGTACGAGGACATTTTCCAGGCCTATCACCACCACCAGGTATGGGAAGATTTCTCTGAAAGTCAGGAAAACAAGGAAATCATAATTTGTGTCACTGGATAACATTTTGTAGTCCATCATGAACATGTCTTTAAATGTTCTCAAAATAAGTATACAGCATAAGAAGTACAAATTTTGAGAAACTTTCAAGAAATACTTACACCATTGTTGATTCTTATATTCAATGAAAGAAACTAACCCTCTGTTAATACTGGGATGGAGACCAAAGAATGTACATATGGACAGTGACATGAGTAAAGACGCCAGGACCATAGCCACAGCACTGAATGCCAGACCCCACTTGGACTTCACCATCTGAATCTTACCTGGAATATAACAGAATAGACTTAGCTTAAGATATATCTGAATCTTACCTGGAAATGATAAAATACACTTAGCTATAAAATTTTATATCTAATTATAGTGGAGCAGACTTATGTTAAATATTTTACCTGGAATAGGGTGGAACAAACTCAGCTTTAAATTTTATACCTAATTACAGTGGAGTAGACTTAGGCTTTAAATTTTATTCCAAATTACAGTGGAGTAGACTTAGGCTTTAAATTTTATAGCTAATTACAGTGGAGTAGACTTAGGCTTTAAATTTTATAGCTAATTACAGTGGAGTAGACTTAGGCTTTAAATTTTATACGGAAGGCTTAGATTTTAGATTCCATATTAATTATAGAAAGACAAACCAAGTTTCTGGATTTCATATCATATTTTCAGTGGAACAGACTTAACCTTGCAAATGAAGGAAGACTCACTTACAATACTTAGATTTTTCATCACACAAACTCGGATAATTTACTCTCATTCAGTATACAAGGCAGTTTATCAATATAAGTTGCTGCAATTGTTAATTAGATTGTAATTTGGTTCTAGTATACTAAACAGAGTATGGTTGATAAACATACAAAGTACTTACACACAGAGAAGTAGAGGTATAAAAACAGCACCACATAGGCCACCACTAGAGGGATATATTCCATGAGGAAGTTGTGGACATCTTTGAAGTAGATGTTCTCCACAGTGTCTGCGGCTGTGGAGTTAAAGCTGGTCGCACTGTGGGGGTACAACTGGTGAAGCTTCTCCTTCAGAGCACTGAAGAAACTGAAAGAGAAAGAAAGAGAATCCTCATAACTGACATAGCAAGGTGAGTATGGTGTCTCTGCCACTGCATTGATGAAACTTAACTTAGGCAAAGATAAAAATGAAGACAATATTATTTCACACATTTTCTTAAATACATATAATTATTACATAAATGTTTACAGATGAGGTTTTTAAAACCATCAATCAGTGACATATATTTGATTATTACAAGAATTATTAACATGATTATTATTGACCAGTTTCTTTAGACACCATGATTTCATAAAACTCCCACTAAAAACTTGTCCCCACCTTTCATTGTAAGACTGCAGCATGATAGTGACAGCATATGAGATGACACGCTGACGATTCCTGAGGAAATATCTGGATATCCCCGTCTCTATCCAGGCCATGCCAAACAGCAACTCTGACAGGAAAGAAGACCAAATTTTAATTTTCTTTTTTGGATTAAATTGTTAAATTCCAGTAAGTATATCAATTTTTTTCATCAAGTTACCCCTTGATAAATATCACCTAACTGTGAACACTTCCCTGATGAAGTAATGTCTTTTAATTCTGTAAACCTTCTTGTCATCAACTATTACTAGTCTACTAAAGGTAATGTCTCCATGTTCTCACCTCTCAATGGTGGTACCATCTCCATGTTGCTGGCACCATAATTCTTGTAAATGGTATTGATGATTTCCCCATCGGACTGAAACCTGGAAAATTTTGGAACACATATGAAATACTTTTCCTTCAAATATTTGAACAGTCATAACAACTGACTGCCATGTGTCCATCTAGTGTCAACCTGCTGATAAACTGACCACATCTTGCAGCTCAAGGTGAATCCACATGTTAATGTCGCCTGAATTGGTCAATATAGCTTTTCCCCATTTATCTTTAAATGTAAATTACTTATCTACATATTAGCTCAAAAAATGTAATACCTTTAGAGGGAAAATTCCCCTTTTCATTGTTTTAGTCACCATGCAACATTCTTTTCAGCTATAAAGCCATTTATCCTCAATTCAACTGCTTTGTTAATTTGTGGAAGATGGTGATCAGTTTAAACACTTTACTCCAGATCTATATAAGATATTATCATATCAGTATCTTCACTTCACACAGTACAGGATCTCCTACCTTGCTAGGTCTCTGTTCCACAGATTGGCAGGAGATAAGACCAGACAGCTATATTATCATATCAGTATCCTACTTCTCCAGGTCTCTATTCCACAGGTTGGCAGGAGATAAGACCAGACAGNACTGGGGGAGCACAGACTTCAACTTTCTCTCAGGTAAACTCTCTGATACATGCAGACAGAAGTCAGACAAGGAATACACTTTACCACTGGAAATACAATAGTCATTCAATTACTGGCATAATACAATAAAAGCTGGCTTTTTAATAGGTCTCTGCATCTAAAATGGGTACTTTTCAGCAAGTGCTGAACTTAGCAATTTAATTTATAAAATGAATTTAATCATTCAGTCCATATTCAATACATGTATCAACAATTCAAAGCGTTAAGTCGACAAATAACATGTTTAACTAAAGAAAAGAGATATTATAAAAAAACTACAAATTTTTCCACAAAATCCACTTACTTGTGTTTATACTGAAAGTTGTTCAGATGGTCCAACAGTTCAAACACCTTGGCCAGCGGCAGACGGAAGGCGTCATTGCGGATCATCTTGGACTGTTCCCATGGCGACACTGTCGACCGTATGATGATTTGCTGAATATAAGCCACTGGGGGTCCGTGGTACTGGAAACCATGACAACATAGTCTTACCATTATGTCTAACAAACAATGCTAATTTACTAGTACTTCAAGTGATTTTAACAAAATTTCAGCTTTTTAGAATATCAAATGAGCTCATGGTTTAAATCAAATCTATTTAACATACTGAAGCTGTTAGGGTGTATTAACTATCGTTTAGCAGCTTCAGTAGGCATTCAAGACATCTCAGCCACATAATCAGAGTGATATTTAGTGAGAATCTCCTCGGAGATGGACCAAACCCTCTGGATGGATCTAGTGATGGGAACTCAGTGTTACTCACCCAGCTGGGACCCTTCACTGTCTCTGTAGTCAGTGTGGTCAGGTTGATGTAGTCTGGGGGAGACCTGTACCCCGGGGCAGGGACGGAGTGCTCCAGGGGGGCGTTACCTGGGAGAGGAATACTCAGCAGGGGGTAGCTGGAATATAGATGATATAATTAACAGGATGTATAACCAAAACCACATTGCTGTCAAACTGATAATAATTCCACAACACAACAGCATAGTGAACCAAATCTGCAGATTTTGGAAAGGTTCTCTGTCAATCTATCCATTAACATGAAGTACACATAATGTCTACTCACCAGATACAGCAGGAGATACTGATGACCATAAAGATGAAGGCATAGGGATGACTGGCACACACTAGTCCATAGCAGTAGTAGACCTCTGCCACTCTTTCCTTCACACGCTGCATTCTTGCTGGACACTGGGTACTTGGAGTCACTACGGGTCACTGTCTGAAGGTCACGGCAAGGACAAGACCTTGGGGTCACTGTCTAGAGGTCACTTCAAGGTCACTATATGAAGGTCACGACCTCGGAATCAATTCCTGGGGGTCACAACCTGAGGGTCACTACTAGTAGGTGGAATCCTCTCTGCTGGACTGAAGTACTGCTGCTTCTTTAACAACAGAGTATAGCTTCTGTAAATGTCTTGTCAAACTCGTGAAGATTCAACTGAGTTTGCTGCCTGTGAGAGAATACCGTATCTCTCAATCTAAATGCTTGATCTGAGATAGTACTGCTGACACAATATCCTGCACTAGCTAAGTATCCTTAGAATGTTTGATTTGTTGCCTTTCACACAAGTGATTCCACATATAATGCTGCTGCTCATGACTAGTATGTATCAACATATGTTCAAATATTTGTAATCACCCTAAACAGTGCCACTTACTTGAGAATTTTAACTTTTCAAATAAATCAGATTACAGAAAACAAAAATATATTTATATCTTTAACAATTATGGTAATATTTATCAAAAGGTGTTAAAAATCTGGTACATAATATGAAAAAAATTTCACAACTCAGTAATGAAGCTACAAAAACAGATTATTGGATAAAAACTAACATACAATAAACAGACTTTGTGCAATATAAAGTAACAAAGAGCATTCACACAGATAGGCTATATAAACTACATACAACAACAAAAAATGAAGCAATATCAGCAATGCTATCTTGTAACAGACAGATCTTACTGAAAATATCAAACTGAGCAAATAAACCAACAAACTCTGATATTTCAGAAGAATTCAATCTCAAATACAAAGCACTATTGTTTGCCAAATTTCATGGAATCACACAGAAGAATTTATAACTATCAGCACATTTGTTCCGTGCTGAGATTGACACAGAACACTTGTCTAACATCCCATGCTGATCACAAAATCAATATCTTACTCTTACTTCAATAAATACAGGTAGTAAAAATATCTAAACTGTGGTTAATGACTAGATGAGTTTATATCAGAGGTGAAATGGTCATGTACATATGGACTAACACTGCCACCATTAACTAAGAAAGCCTCAGCTTTATGTTCACTTCTCTGGTGTTACAATATGTCCTGTTTTCTGAAGTCTTTGTGTTAAAATAGACAACTGGTGTTTGCTGCTCTTCAAACAGGAGAGTTAATGTAGACTTCAATCACTGCTGTCTGACTCCATTAACAAAGGGGACCACAATGATTTCATAGGCCAGTGATTACTGCTATTGTAACAAGTGCTGTTATAATAATGTACAGTATGGTTTTAACAATACAAGACAGCTGTGGTCAGAACCACCATCTAAACTGTGATAATTCAATGATACAAATGCTGTATTTTCCTACGTGACAGCATTCCTATAGATACAAGCCATAGTTTAGCTCAATAAGAGAACAGAGAGAGTTTTCATAGCAAAGATTTCATGCACATGTAACATGAACTGTTTCCAGTATGAGTCTCAACAAAACCATCTGCAGACCACAACTATTACTCACAAACTCTTTCACCAGTTGTTGAAGTACTGTGGAAATGCTGATTGCATTGTCTCTGTTAACTCCACCAGAATGTGTTCTTTACTTTCTGTTCTACTAGATCTGTGTAGCCTGATATCTGTCAATAAGGGTCACTTCCAAAAAAAAGTTTTTACTGAAGTTCACAGTAGAGGTATCAGTTGTTCAGAAGCATAGCATCATGTTTTCTGTGAGGTCTTTGTACATCTGGAGCTGTTTGTACTGAATCAATGGAATTGTTTGTAGGCCAGGGTGATGCCTCCTTCTTAGAACTTGTCAGCGTCTGGAAACAGAAAAAATACAGATCTTACAGTACAATTGACGTCATGCTGGAAAATGTCTCCTCGGTAAAGTTTTTATGACTTTATCAGTGATGATTTTATTTTTCGTTTCTGACATGTGTGAAGTCTTGGTTCTACTCTGTTCTACATGGATTTCATTTCTGACATGTGTGAAGTCTGGGTTCTACTCTGTTCTACATGGATTTCATTTCCACTGTTTTCATTATGACAGTCAGTCATGACTGAAAGGAAATTAAAACATTGTGACATTAATTTATTTCAGCATTTTGTTTGTTACCTTTTAACTCAAGAATCTATTTCAATTATCAACATAACCATGATAACAACAGAGCACCTGCATCAGGTATGATATAGAAGTGGATATAAATCTATGATCCTAATGATCTACCATCAGAACTGAGTCATAGCTGTCTACAACATATATATCCACACATCAACACTGTATAGTGCTGGTAGAGACGCTAGTGGTGCACTTACATCACAGCTGACGGCAGCCGTTATGAAAGACACAGTCACAAGTGAAGTATGTGAGAAAACCACGTGTAAACACGTGTGCTAGCACACAAAACTGATATTCTGAATATAGAAAATGATAACCTGATTACCCTTATTTTCAAAAGTTACACTATCACCACAGACCTGCAGTGATTTTATTTCAAATTCAGCTTTAATAGTTAAGACTGGTGATGTCTTTGATCAGCTAATTGTCGTATCACACTGAAGGCTTTTGACTCCTCTCTATCTTGATGAACTGATATCACAGAGTTCAATGCCGTATGTAGTCATATATCACAGCCAGCTATTGACACTACAGAGATATGGCATGGTTCTTGGTGATACTCAAAACTTATCAGATTTTTGTGGGATGACATAACTTCTGTGACACAATCATGTCTTGTTTTAGAATGTAGAGCAGTCATTGCCCCATGAAGAGTGCAGACACCAGACGCCCTGGCCAGTGCAAGGCCACTAGAGGTCACTGTGGTCATGGACAGCCTGCGAGGGAAATTAGATTTTTAAAAAATCCATTTGCTGTATTTTTTACCAAAATTTGCCAGAGCAAAAAAACATCAAGACAGGTTGAGGTTCTACTGCATAAATATTAGACTACAATGTGGTCTTCTATGAAACTCAGTTCAATGTTGAGGTTCTACTGCATAAATATTAGACTATAATGTGGTCTTCTATGAAACTCAGTTCAATGTTGAGGTTCTACTACATAAATATTAGACTATAATGTGGTCTTCTATGAAACTCAGTTCAATGTTGAGGTTCTACTACATACATATTAGACTATAATGTGGTCTTCTATGAAACTCAGTTCAATGTTTATGTTAGCTCTAGCCTAAAATAATAAGCTTCTAAAATATCAAGTATGGCTTTATGTAAAACTTAATAGATCTAAAATATCAAGTTTGGCTATATGTAAAACTTAATTAGCTTTGTTAAAACATTTTTGTTTGGTCCAAGTTAAAACTAAACCTTATAAATCCAGTTTATTTTCAGGTTAGGCCTGGGCTAATACTATATAGTATATAAAACCAGTCATTATAATTTATTTAAAGGATCATATTATATCCAACATTTAAAATAATTTTAAACTGTTTTGATAACAAACTGGTTGAGTAATGCCAAGTCAACTTGTACCTGTCTAATACAGGATATCACAGCTATATTGGAACTGGCATGTGACCCACACTGGCTAGAAAATCATCACTGTCTCATTCTGATGAGATGCTTTGATTAAGTCTATAAAAGTATACTCATTAAGAGAGAAGCATAAGGAATCAGCACTAATCATTACATTTTCAATTCAACTGTTTTCAATCTGACCATATAGAGTTGTAACTTGATATTCTCCACAGCCTGGACTCCACACTGTTAGACTACATATCATCAAATGCTGGTGATTATTGATTATTTTCAATGGAAATGAAACTAAACAAATAATGCAGCACGTGAGGAAATTATCACTGCGGAGATAAATTACTTTCATCTCTGACATCAGTCTGACTGATTGTCTGGNATATTAGACTATAATGTGGTCTTCTATGAAACTCAGTTCAATGTTTATGTTAGCTCTAGCCTAAAATAATAAGCTTCTAAAATATCAAGTATGGCTTTATGTAAAACTTAATAGATCTAAAATATCAAGTTTGGCTATATGTAAAACTTAATTAGCTTTGTTAAAACATTTTTGTTTGGTCCAAGTTAAAACTAAACCTTATAAATCCAGTTTATTTTCAGGTTAGGCCTGGGCTAATACTATATAGTATATAAAACCAGTCATTATAATTTATTTAAAGGATCATATTATATCCAACATTTAAAATAATTTTAAACTGTTTTGATAACAAACTGGTTGAGTAATGCCAAGTCAACTTGTACCTGTCTAATACAGGATATCACAGCTATATTGGAACTGGCGTGTGACCCACACTGGCTAGAAAATCATCACTGTCTCATTCAGATGAGATGCTTTGATTAAGTCTATGTAAGTATACTCATTAAGAGAGAAGCATAAGGAATTTGCACTCATTATTACATTTTCAATTCAACCATTTTCAATCTGACCATATAGAGTTGTCACTTGATATTCACCACAGCCTGGACTCCACACTGTGAGACCACATATCATCAAATGCTGGTGATTATTGATTATTTTCAATGGAAATGAAACTAAACAAATAATGCAGCACGTGAGGAAATTATCACTGCAGAGATAAATTACTTTCATCTCTGACATCAGTCTGACTGATTGTCTGGGTTCATCCTAGGCTGGAGGTGCTATACTGTGAGAGGGTGATCAGCAATACATTAGGTTATACTGAATGTCTGGGTTCATCCTAGGCTGGAGGTGCTACACTATGAGAGGGTAGCCAGATATACATTATGTTATGTAGAGAAATTTTATTAGATACCTCGACTGCAGAAATAAACATAAAGCTCCCATGCTTAAGAGAATGCTTTTGCTCTATCTCCAACATTGATAGATTACTAAAAGATATTAGAACAAGACTATCAATTGATTAAAAAATATATCATTTTAACTGTTGTCAAAGAACACAAATTTTGGACAGACATTTATCATCAACAACTCATCTAGTTATATTATACAAATAATTAAGCTGTATTAATAAGTTATAACCTAATACTATACAACCTGTACATGCTACGTATTTGTTATGTAGTTGTCCACGTCTCTTATAGCTTGATTGTATTCCATATGTAAGTTTGGTTTATATCAATAGTTTCCACTATTATATTTCTGTATCAGACTAAAGGGACCATCAGTTGTTTACAGCTGTACTATAACAACCAAGCTGACATTGTACAGTGTTTACTCCCTGTTTGTGCTGCCTCCAGCATATAATAATAATAATAACCAGCTTGGAGACAGCACCCTATATAATTATCACTAAATGCAATCTTCTGCCAGGGTTGATGATTACACTACACTGACAGTGTGTTATAGAATTGTGAAATTGGCTTGAATAGGTTAACAAGGTATCTCTTAAGCTTCCATTCACAGTGGTGATCATCTGGTTAATGTACAGGTATACCAGTACCTTACCAATTAACTTACGTAAGCTGGGGAAATTAGATTACATTGACAAAATGAAGATCTTCGTTGCAGTTTGTAGCTGTATCCAAACTGAATAATAGACCTCCCCACATGAGGGAAGTGATGTTACTGTGAATGGATAAAGCAGACAATGGTTACTTAGCTGACTACGCTGACACTCACCTTTCGCAATATCCACTTATGTGGAGTTCTTCAAACTGTCACATGTAATATAAACGGTCCCCAAAACTCTGGAAATACTCATCTTTTAACAAAACACTTAACACTAAACTCCACGTCTTTCTTATAGAAACTCACAGTTGAAACAAATCGTCGCAATTATGTTACTCTTGACGCACGAGTTGTTGGAACATCGGTCATAAATTAATCTTTTTCACTACACTGCTGTGTACCGTCTTCCCTCGCTGTCATCTCTGTTGAAACTATGCCTAGGCTAGGATACACACGGCAGGTATTCACTGTCAGACCAACATTTTCCTTATGTTGCATGTTTTCACATGTTTAATCTTTTTTGTTTAACGATTATATAAAGGAATATTTAAAATATATAAAAAGTATTTTAAAAACGCTACAACAGTCTTTTAGATATGTGGGAAATTAATAAACGGTGTGAGAGGAATGTACTTGTGCTGGAGACAGCTCTATACGGATGTGAGGTGATCTTGCGCCAAAGTGACTGCGCAGTAGACCGGATGTGGAGGAAAAACGTAGTGCATTTTCTCTGGAAAGAAAATATTGTGAATTTTAATCATAATGAACGAGTTAGAGAAACTAGAACATCTTTCTTTGGTATCTAAAGTATGTACTGAGTTGGACAATCATTTAGGTCTAAATGATAAGGATTTGGGTAAGTCACTGCTGTAAAAGCATATACTTTTTATGGTAAACAATAATCCTGCATTGAAAAAATTTATTGTATTAGTGCATAATTTTCTTGATGAAAACCGTTAGTTGTTTATCCATTACGTATACTTTGTAAAGTGATCACAGTGATACAAGTATAATTTATGGGAAGTTAGTCTTGAAGACATTGCTTATCGCAATAATAAATTGACTGACTCCCTCTTCACTTGTAGTGAGGTTGTGTATCATACATAGTTTCATTTGCTTCATGTTTGATTATTTTCCTTTCCAGCTGAGTTTATCATTTCCTTGGCAGAGAAAAACAACACCTATGAAAGTTTCAAGAAAACATTGGATGAAAATGGGGCAGAGTTTCCCGTGAGTAAAATAAACAGCTTTCATGAAAAAAACAACTAGTTTCAGGAATGAAGAAACTGATGAAAAATCACATTTCTGTTAGCTATGTCAAACAAGTTTTTGTTGTTCTTGTTGGTAGTCCTTGTTGTCGAGGTTAAAGTCCTTGTTGTCTTCATTCCTGGCCAGTCTACTTCAGCATGAACTGACCAGTTTTCCATCTACATACAACAAAGCCTTGTCATGTGATATCACTTCTCTCAAATCACAAAATACAATCTTGATTCCAGGAGTCATTCACAGCAAACCTGCTGCGTCTTATACAACACATGAAGCCCAAGAAAAAAGAAGTTGAAGGTGATGGAGAAGTAGAAGACAAAGTGCTGAAGAAGAAACTGTTTCCAGGACTTGCAATACCAGATGATCCCAGCGTAAGGGTATGTAGGGAATGTGCTGTATTCATTTTAGTGATATACCCCCACATCTACTAGTAGTCTTCTCCCAGGGTTAGGGGTATAGGCTATTCAAAATTACCATCTGTAATTTCCTACAAAATTTCTGGGAAAACATGCATTACAAAATCTGTCCTATAAATTTCCCAAAAAATCATAACTTGTACAGCTGTTTAGAAAATATAGGCCATCAGTTGATGCTGGCGGCCATTCAAATGACGACTGGAGGATTTGCTGGGGAAAAGGTCCCACATGCTTGTTATAAACTTTTGAAACATTTAACAAAAGAAGAATTCCCTGCTGAAATTCCACTTCCAGTAATAAGGTGAGGAATACCTGGAACTGGCTACTCAGCTTTAGCTACGGGGATAAAAACATTACCTGAAATAGTATATTTATTGGATATGTTTGAGTGTGTTATTCAGTAGATTAATGGCAACTGCTTCATAAGCCAGGAGGATTTCTGACATGGATTTTTACGACCAAATACTCAGTGTACAAGTAGTCACCTTTGAGCCCTGAATGCTACATATGTGCCAGAGCCAGATATATGGTTTCAGAAATGTATTATATAAATAATAATAATAATAATAATAATATTTATTTCTTAAAAAATGCACTATATTTCCGTCTCAGTGCAGAATAACAAGTAATTCTATAGATACTAAAAGCTGAGGTGAATAAAACAATAAAAAATTATTAATGCTGGTTATAATAGAAATAGTCTGAATAATAAAACCTTTTATGATAAAATGAGAAAAATATATAATTTCAGGTATTAAAATTAATTGAAGTACTGTGCAAATAAGAATGTTTTCAAGTCATTTTCTAAGAACCTCGGCACTCTATAGTCCAAAAGTGTGAAGGTAGTACATTCTATAAAATGGGTGCTGCAATTGCTGACAGTATCTTATATAACCTTTATTCTGCTTTAGAACATGCTGGCCAGTGACCACAAGCCAGTCCCGACCAGTGACCAGAAGCCAGCAGCTCCAGCAAGTGACCAGCAGGTGGCTGATGATATGCTGGGAGAGTTAGAGGCTATGTTCTCCAGTGAGAAGAAGGAAAAGTGAGTGCAAGAATCATTTTGTCTTATTCGTAATTTCATGCAATATTCTGTTGTGTACACTAAGGCCCTGTTCAGAACCAGTTGATATACTGACTAACTAGTCCTCCGATCAAATGTGGCGCATCCCACTTGAAAGCATGCTGAGATTTAACTGCACTACCTCTGCAGGGAGACAGGAATCCATTGTAAATTGCATGCCATATTTGATCCGCAGATTAGTTAGTCCCCAGGTTAACTGGTTCTGAACAGGCCCTATTTTAGAATGGTTTAAGGTTTGATCTGCAGATTAGTTAGTCCCCAGGTTAACTGGTTCTGAACAGGCCCTATTCTAGAATGGTTCAAGGTGAGAATGATGAAGATAAGAGTTCTCATCATTTTCTTATATACTTCCTGTTCCTATCAGCCTCTGTAACCTGACTCTGATGGTTTGTAATACATTAATATCAAAGTAAATCATGTTGATTTTTGCAGTGAATATTGATACAAAAACATTTCTTTCCAGCAAGCCAGATATCTCCAAGCCAAAACACAGATCCAGGAGTAGAGACAGAGATCGTAAAAAGAAACACAGGTCTCGCAGCCGTTCAAGAGACAGAAAAAGAGATCGTAAAAGATCAAGAAGTCGCTCCAGAGACAGATACAGGGACAGAAAGAAAAGATCGCGCTCTAGATCCAGAAGTCGTGACAGGAAAAGACGTGAGCGCTCCAGATCTCGTAGTCGTGACAGGTACAGAGATGAGTCGAAGAAGAGAGATCGACACAGAGAGAAAGAAGTAGAACTGCCTCTGGAACCCATTCCTGGGATGGTGAGGCGAATTTTTAGAAATGAAAATTTTTAAAAGAAATAAAATATTAAAATTAAATCTGATATTACAGAAGTTCACTGTGATCATAAAGAGAGCAGATTCACATGTGATAAATTCAGTGTGTTACTTGTTAATTTTGTAGATTAACAAAAAAAACATTGGTCAGTCTTTTTCTTTTTAAAGAAAAAGACAAGGTTAAAGAAATTTATAGCAGTTTATTTAATATTTAAGTTATTTTATTGGGTCTTGTATGTAAGATATTTGTGTCCTTGTAACCTTCAATATTTGAAGTTTGTGATTGACACAATAAGTTTTCACCTCTTCATTTCTCACTGGTATGTTAAGAAGACTTTTCTCTTATTTTAAGATCTGCAATGGCAAGGTGACTTCCATTATGCAGTTTGGAGCATTTGTCCAGTTGGAAGGGCTGAGAAAGAGATGGGAAGGTCTGGTTCATATATCACAGGTAAGTCACAGTTATCAAGGTCTGGTCCATATACCACAGGTAAGTATGTACATTGCTGACTTTAAGATGCATTTGAAGTCAATTTTTTTTTTTTTTTTTTTTTTTTTTTTGCCACAAAGCTGAGCGTCACCAGTTTTAAAAAGCGTAATTTGGAAATGACAAATGAAACTGTTTCTTATTAACTGAAAAATGATATTAGAAGGGATATTTTCTAGTCACTTTCTGTGCTGTACATAACCAAGGCAGATAAGTAGGTCAGTTTAGTAGGTCCTATTTGCGACCAAAAATTGGAAGAAGGGGCTGTTTTAAAGCTCTCTCATGGTGGATCAAGTGATAAATTCCATTTACCACTCGGCATGTCAGTTTTATTTTATATGTATAAGAAGCAAATAGAAGCATTTTGTAATTGTGACTGGAAAACCACGCTAGGTTCAGATGTATCTTTAAAAGTATTGCCTCTCCTTGATGAGAATATTGTACTAAAGAAATTAAACTGGCGTGAAGTTCTCATTAAAAAAAAACATTACATACAAGATATGATGTGTCATATTTGAATTATTTCAGCTGCGTAGAGAAGGCAGGGTGATCAATGTGTCTGATGTGGTCAGCAAAGGTCAAAGGGTCAAGGTCAAGGTTCTCTCATTTACTGGACAGAAGACCAGTTTGTCCATGAAGGTAGCGCTAACATAATGGTTTTGGGGGCAATTTCTAAAAATTTTTTAGCAAAATCAATACTTCTACTGTACTATTTTCCTATGACACCATGATATGATTTGTCTTTATACTGTTAAATGAGTATTATTAGTGTTAACAGGTAATCCAGAAGCTGGGGATTTTTTTATTATATTGTATAAGGCCTGTCAATGTTGTATTGTTATATCTTCAGGATGTGGATCAGGACACGGGAGAAGACCTGAACCCCAGCAAGACCAGGATGTTGGGTGGTGAAGTGGACGCTGATGATGACACTACAGCCAGAAATCCTGACCGTCCATCCACCCTGCCTCTGGTTGACCTGCCAAACATTGATGAGATCAAAGAGGTACGACGCGGGCCACGGATGTCCTCTCCTGAAAGGTGGGAGTTGAAACAGATGATGGCGGCCAATGTTATTGATAAATCTGAGCTGCCTGACTTTGATGAGGAGACAGGACTGTTACCACAGATAGAAGATGATTCTGGTAAGTTGTAACTTGCTAATTAAGATTACTATTACTTTGATGAGGAGACAGGACTGTTACCACAGATAGAAGATGATTCTGGTAAGTTGTAACTTGCTAATTAAGATTACTATTACTTTGATGAGGAGACAGGACTGTTACCACAGATAGAAGATGATTCTGGTAAGTTGTTACTTGCTAATTTAGATTACTTTTATATTTGGTTCATATAAAATCTAAGTGATAACTTGACCAAACACTATCTGAGTGACAAGACAGTCTCAGGGTAATAGCATGTGACGTGTTACAAAGGTCATTTCATTTACGCAGTTAACACTAGAAATAATTTTTTTTTTTTTTTTCTTGAAAGAGCAAAACTCTTATTAGATACAAAACAGTTAAGTAAACACTGACACAAGACAAGCAGTAAGTGGACCTGGGTCCCACAGACAGAGCAAATAAACAAATACAGACACTGTCAGTTAACACCAAGGGACATTTGATGACCAGTAAATGTCCAGATAAACTGATCCAAGTGATCACTATATATTGCCCTTGTCTCCAACAATGTTTTTCTGTATTGTATTGAATTGTATTGTATTGTATTATATTGTATTGTTACACTATATATATTGTTCTCATCACAAACGATGTCTTTCTATCCCCAGATGAGGACCTAGAGGTGGAGCTGGTGTATTTCTGTATTGTACTGTATTGTAATGTATTATAACACTATATATTGTTCTCTATATATATTTCTATCCCCAGATGAGGACCTAGAGGTGGAGCTGGTGGAAGAAGAGCCTGCCTTCCTGAAGGGGTATGGACGTACCAGTAACCTTGACCTTAGTCCTGTGAAGATTATGAAGGTAGCTTAATGTCTTTATTAACTTAACAATACACACTCATAGTCCTGTGAAGATTATGAAGGTAGCTTAATGTCTTTATTAACTAACAATACACACTCATAGTCCTGTGAAGATTATGAAGGTAGCTTTATGTCTGTCTTTATAAACTAAACAAAGCATACGTGAAATGGGAAGTTAGAAGTCTTATGTGAAGTTGAGACATTAAAACTATCATATAAGTCTGTGTATTGTTAAACTCTGGTTTTCTTCCAGAACCCTGACGGCTCTCTTGCACAGTCCGCCATGATGCAGTCTGCTCTTCAGAAAGAGAGGAGGGAAATCAAGCAGCAGCAGAGGGAGGAAGAGATGACAAAGGCCAATCCTGATGAAGTTAGCAGGAGCTTTGCTGACCCTATGGCTGGAAGTAAGTGTGAAGTTTGATGATATAGACCCTATGGCTGGAAGTAAGTGTGAAGTTTGATGATATATACCCTATGGCTGGAAGTAAGTGTGAAGTTTGATGATATAGACCCTATGGCTGGAAGTAAGTGTGAAGTTTGATACTAACTTTCTGTTGCCTACTTCACCTGACAGTGATGATTTGAAGAAACATTTTAAGTGTCAGTCCGTGGAGACCTCTCCCTCTCTCTCTCTCTCTCTCTCTCAGTTACTCTCTCTCTCTCTCTCTCTCTCTCTATCTCTATCTCTCTCTCTCTCTCTCTCAGTGGTAATACTATGGTACTTCATGTTCTAGTTGAGGGGCGCCAGCTGACGGCAAACATGCGTGGTCCAGGTGGCAGCACCACTGACCTCCCAGAGTGGAAGAAACACATCAGCGGCGGTGTGAAGGCATCATACGGGAAGAAAGAGAAGAAGAGTATTCTAGAGCAGAGACAGGGGCTGCCTATCTATAAACTGAAGAATGAACTGATCAAGGTACGGCACACAGGGAAGGTTGACAGAGGATCCCTCATCAGATCATTCATATCTGAGGTCTTAAGGTCACATGAAAATATGAATAACCTTGATTGATGACTGAATGTTTTAGAATTACAATCAGGAATATATCTTTATTCAAAAAATNCCTGGAATTTATGTGGAAAAATTCAATTTGTAACCAAGGTATCAGGTTGGATACTTTATGGTGACCAGTCCATCCAGGTTATTACATAGTAAAAGGTTATAGGGTGAGACTGCAGCATTGGTTACTTGTTGAATTTTACCACACATGTTACAGTGTTCAGTTTATATATATCTCTCTAGACCTAGTTTCATCAACACTGGATAGCACTACTGTAAGGATAACACTATCCTTTGAAGAAAATTTTAATCCTCTGAAAAGTTATCTTGAGGATTGCAGGAAAGCAATATCAGAGACAAAAATAAGTATCTAGTGTTGAGTAAATGTCACTTAAGCCACAGGATAATTTCCTAGAGAATAACAATTTTATCTAATGGATAGTGTTATCCAGAAGATAGTGTTATCCATTGTTGATGAAACTGGGCCCTGATTGATTGATATTCATTCATGAAGTATTGTATAAAAGTTCATTCTCAGCTCTCCCAGCAACCTTCCTTTATTATAATTATTATTATTATCATCATCATTTCATAGCCATTATTATTATTACTGTTTGATTGATGTATATGAATTGTATGGTTTATTGATATTCATGTAGTATTGTATAAAAGCTATATTCTCAGCTCTCCCAGCATCCTCTCTGTTATCTTCCAGGCTGTGACAGACAACCAGATGTTAATTGTGATTGGAGAGACGGGGTCGGGGAAGACAACGCAGATCACCCAGTACCTGGCAGAGGCTGGTTACACCACCATGGGGAAGATTGGTTGTACACAGCCCAGGAGAGTAGCTGCTATGTCTGTAGCTAAGAGAGTGTCAGAGGAATTTGGTTGTAGACTAGGACAAGAGGTGAGACACACTGGGGTATTATTAGTATTATTATTATTATTATTATTATTATTATTACTGCATAGCAGGTGAGGGAGTTACAATCCAAGTTCTCAATCATGTCATTTGTATCTCAATAATTATTTCCTAGATTGTTGAGCAAAAAGTATGCTCTTCTCTTAGTTTAATTATAACAGCCCAGGATTTCCTTTCTGTTGAGACATAAACAAAGTATCCTTATCCCCCCAGGTTGGTTATACCATCCGTTTTGAAGACTGTACCAGTCCTGAGACCAAGATCAAGTACATGACAGACGGTATGATGCTAAGAGAGTGTCTGATAGACCCTGATCTCTCCCAGTACTCTATTATCATGTTGGACGAGGCCCACGAGAGAACCATCCACACGGATGTGCTGTTTGGGCTGCTGAAGAGGGTATGTTAGAATACACACACATGCACGCATGCGTGCACATACACTTACACACACGTTGTTGTATTATTCAGATGCGTTTATACATTTCATAAAATATAAGATATTAGTCTGGTAGATATAGTTCACTTTGTAGTCTAGCCTGAAGAGAAATATTGAGATGTGTTTATACATTTCATAAAGTATAAGATATTAGTCTGGTAGATATAGTTCACTTTGTAGTCTAGTCTAAAGAGAAATATTCACATGTGTTTATACATCTCTCATAAGTTTAAGATATTAATCTGGTTGATGTGTTTCTATATGCAGGCTGTACTGAAGAGAAAAGAGCTGAAGTTGATTGTCACCTCAGCCACTCTAGATGCTGTCAAGTTTTCTTCTTATTTCTTTGAAGCTGTAAGTATACATGTTATTGTAAAATTGATATTTTATCATGAATCAAAGATTTTTTCAACTCAAATATTGAAGTACACTTAAAAATTAACTGCTGTTTTGTTTTCTTTATAAACAAGAAGCAAAGCATATCAGGTGAAAATTATTGGTTTTATTTGAAATATCATTCTGAATGGAATTTTCACAAAATGTGAAATGATAGAGAATTTCTTGGATCTGCATATACATTTTGTCTCTGTACATTAAAGGTGACAGAGTTGAGTTCTGAATGTTGACACAATCTGTACGTTTGCCAGATTTGCTGCCTAGTGGATGTTAATAATAAGTCTGTATATCAACTAGACATTCACTGCTATCATTACAGCCTATCTTCACCATCCCTGGTCGTTCCTTCCCTGTGGAGACGCTGTACACTAAGGAGGCAGAGACGGATTACCTGGATGCCTCCATGATCACCGTGATGCAGATCCACCTGACAGAGCCGCCCGGAGACATTCTGCTGTTCCTGACGGGACAAGAAGAGATTGACTCCGCGTGTGAGATCCTGTATGAGAGGATGAAGGCCCTGGGACCTGAGGTCCCAGAACTGATTATACTGCCTGTGTACTCCGCACTGCCCAGTGAGATGCAGACCAGGATATTTGAGCCTGCTCCACCAGGATCTAGAAAGGTAGAGAATTCACGGACATCAGAGTATTAATAGAGCTTAGATTCATGTTTTGTCAAACTAGGATATTAATGCCTGCTCCGCTGGGATCTAGAAAGGTATAGAACACTTTAGGCACCGTGATATTTGATTTGATACATGGGATCTACAAAGGTAGAGAATACACAGACACCAAGAGTTATTGCCATACAGCTTAGATTGATATATGTTCAGACTACTTCATAACCAAGTGTTTTGTGTAAAGTGTTGAATAGATATGGGTTGGTTTCTTTACCCTTGTTAGGAGGCTGTATCCTCATGATATATTAATAGTGGTGAATTAAATACTTGATTGATAAAAACTGTCAGTGATCATAGTGTGGTGCCCCCTATAACTCTGTTTGTGTCCTTCAGGTTGTCATAGCCACCAACATAGCAGAGACGTCCCTGACCATAGATGGCATCTACTACGTGGTGGATCCTGGCTTTGTGAAACAGAAAGTCTACAACTCCAAGACAGGCATGGACCAGCTGATAGTGACCCCTATATCTCAGGCACAGGCCAAGCAGCGTGCGGGGAGAGCAGGGCGAACGGGGCCTGGGAAGTGTTACCGTCTGTATACAGAGAGGGCGTACAGGGACGAGATGTTGCCCACACAGGTGCCAGAGATACAGAGAACTAACTTGGCCAGTACGGTGCTGTCACTGAAGGCCATGGGGATCAATGACTTACTGGCCTTTGACTTCATGGACCCGCCCCCCATGCAGACGTTGATCTCCGCCATGGAGCAGCTCCATGCTCTCTCCGCGCTGGATGATGAGGGTCTGCTCACCAGACTGGGGCGACGGGTACGTATATACGCACACGCACATGCACACACACACACACACACACACTGGGGCAACGGGTACATATATACGCACACACACACACACACACACACACTGGGGCAACGACACACATGCACAGCAGGAACTTGTCTCCATTCAGATGCAACTTATATTTGGAGTTTAAGTTTAATGTATTTATTTGTGTTTATCCCCCAAAGGCCAATTTCAAAGCAAATTAATATGCCACGAGGTAGTGTTAAACTTTATGTCTCTCTTAGTTTTTGTGTATCAAATATTGAATTCAACCACAGTAATGTATTTGTTAATGTTCATTTCCAGTCTTGAAGATAAACAATGAAACACCTGTGAAAACATCAATAAATACAGACTGCAAACTTGGATAATATCTTATATCTGTGTTCTAGATGGCAGAATTTCCAATGGAACCCATGTTGTCTAAGATGTTAATTATGTCTGTTCACCTGGGATGTAGTGATAATTTCTTATATCTATATTCTAGATGGCAGAATTTCCAATGGAACCCATGTTGTCTAAGATGTTAATTATGTCTGTTCACCTGGGATGTAGTGATAATTTCTTATATCTATGTTCTAGATGGCAGAATTTCCAATGGAACCCATGTTGTCTAAGATGTTAATTATGTCTGTTCACCTGGGATGTAGTGATAATTTCTTTATATGTTCTAGATGGCAGAGTTTCCAATGGAACCCATGTTGTCTAAGATGTTAATTATGTCTGTTCACCTGGGATGTAGTGATGAGATCCTTACCATAGTCTCCATGTTATATGTACAGAATGTATTCTATAGACCCAAGGTAGGCAGAACTCTGGCAGCTTAAATACTGTACATTTCCTAAACCATGAATATTATATGTACAGAATGTATTCTACAGACCCAAAGTAGGCAGAACTCTGGCT